GCAGGCTGAGCTTGATGTGAAGGACTTTGGATAAGAATGGATGGAGAACCACAGGAAGCATCTCAGAACATAGCTGGTGGACACCTGTCTCATAAATACCTGAGGAGCTGGTGGCACAGCCTGAGCAGCAGGTTTGGACCTTTCTGGGCCTCAGGGACCTTGCAGCAGTTAGGTGCGGTGGTATGGACAGGAGGAGGCAGGCAAGGAAAGAACAGTGTTCCTGGATGACTGGAGAACAGGAAAGAGGCAGGAAGGAGGCAGCTTGTGTGGTGGTGGGCAGGGTGGGAGGCTCCCATGTTATTGCTCAGTAGGGTTGTGTTGTCCAGACCTGCCGAGGACGGAGCAAGCAGGGGTCTGCAATCAGAGCTGGCAGAGAGCTGGCTTTGATGGGGCTGCTGACTGTTGGGCTGTCCAGGGGCACTGGAGCCAGAAGTGCCACCCATGGCTGCCACGGGGTGTGTGGTGCTGACAGGGCTGCCAGGAACCGCAGAGGGCTGGGGGGACCAGAGAAGGGGAGAGCAGGGAGGGGGTAAGCTTTGTCAGTGAGATGAAATGGGATGGGGAAGCAGCCACGTTAAGTGCCAGTAGGACACGGTTCTTCTTCCTTCCTGGTGGAAAACAGCAAAACTTATGGGGCACAGGGGTAGAAGAGGGCTGGCTGAGGTGAATTTGTAATCTAATTAAGGATTGCTAGAACCCTTGAAGGTGACAGATAGAATCTTGTCAGGTAGCAGAAACGCCAAGCAAGGTGAGGAGAGCAGGCAGCTTCTCCTCCTAAAGACATCATCATCCCAGCCCCACTCTCAGGGTTGACTTCCATGTGTCACTGAGGTACTGGTGTTCCCAGCTTGTGAGCAGCAGTGAGAGAAGAGGGGACTACAGCTTCACTTGATGGCTTCTCTCTTGTGGGGTGAACGTTCCACGTTGCACCTCTGCTTTAAGGATGAGGTTCCTTAATCCTATGGTTTGCCAGTGGAGGTGCATTAGTGGTCCCTGAAGTCAGCAGGCAGGGGTAGTTTTGCTCATTTCAGGTAATCTGAGGGGAATCACAGACTGGTTTGGATTGGAAGGGACCTTAAAGACCACCCAGTTCCAACCCCCCTGCACGGGCAGGGACACGACCCACTGGACCAGACTGCTCCAAGCCCCATCCAACCTGCCCTTGAACAGTTTCAGGGAGGGGGCATCCACAGCTCCTGCGGGCAACCTGTGCCAGTGTCTCACGACCCTCAGCAGCAGCGGGGGAGTCCCAGCCGACGCC